TGCTGGCAGTTAATAGAATGAAAACTATTTTAAAACCCGCATAACTGCAGCAACAGTCATTTTCTGGTGTAGATCAGGTCAGGACTGAGGAAAGATGCAATCCAGTGAAGAACATTAATAAGAAGAGCTAGTATTAATCACAAAGTATATTTTTAATTAGATGATACGATACGTCAGAGAGTTGATGATTACACGAACCACGAACGGAGAGCCTAAGAGGTATGCAGGCTAGAACTCAGTGGGAGATATGTGCACTTATGCACGTAGTGTGATAATGTAAATCTTTCTTACCTATGCATAAATTGAAACTAAGATGCTTAACTTTCACAAGGTTGTCCACTGGAATAGTGGATATATTCATGTGATAGAGAATATAGTTTTACAGACATCACACCAGTTGTGAGGACCTTTGTATTTGCATGTGCAAGTAAAGCATAAGTTTGTGGATCAGCTGGTCTCCTTCAACATCCTGTCTTACAGACATCAAGGGGTCTTTATGGTGAACATTTCTTTGGGCTAATCAGCCTCCAGAACTTTGCTAGAAGCTATGTTGAGTACCTCTGTCAGAGTGTGGAGGATAGTAATCTTTTTCATGTTGAGAAAAAAAAAGATTTGTATTGCAGAACCCAAACTTACTTTGCACCTCACTTTGTCTTTTCTTTTGTTGTGACTCTCTGGTTAGGAAATTTTACAGCAGTAGTCGTTGTTGGGATGTATCTTAATAACCTTAATTAAGATCAAATCAGTGTAACTGGTCTGCTTTTAATTCTGCCACCATATTTTGTACATTACTTTCCAGGCTCTATACCTGGGTTGCCAGACATACACCTTAATACACATTTTGACTCTTTGTATTTCTAAGTTAATGGCTTTCATGTTGTGTCCTGCTTTAACTCGATAACCCATATTTTGTTACGTTAGTGCATTCATGTGTTGTATTCCAATATCCATTTCTTAGTTCTAGAATATTTGGTTTTGAATACTCTTTTCATATTTTATTTTTTAAAGCTTTTTGTTAGATACTGACTTTGTTACCTCTGCAGCATTGATATGCTCAGATCTCAACATGCTTTTCCTGATAGAGTTTGACTTGCACTCAGCTAAAATACCACCACATTAAGGTATAGGACTCAGTATGTGTGTATGCAGATAGTTCTAAAGTGCCTTCATAACTCCGTGGATTTATCATGCAAGTAGTTCAAAATACAGCATTTTCCTCTAGTTTCCTGCCTTTTGAGGTTAGCTTTGCCACAAGGCAGAAAGTAGTTCAGTTTTATAAATCTCAGCTTGCTTTTTCTCCTGCTTTGTGGAGTTATTTTGCGACTGAGGAAAGTTTCTAAATTGTCCAGGTGGATATGGTTCCTTCCAAAGCACAGTAGGGCAGATGCTCTTTGTGGTGACTTTCTGATTTGTATTTTATTTGTTTTTGAGATTCTCCAGATGTCAGACACACAGAATCATGACCTGCCTTTCCCAAGACTTGAGAATATTTGTTGTGCTAGTGACTGTTGTTGGATTTTAAAATTTTTTTACCCACTCCTTGAATTATCATCTTACGTACACATCTTCATTTGATCAAAGACTGAATTTCAGAGCTCAGAGACAGCAAAATCTCTCTTGTCTGCTGTTTCCACCACATTCTGCCACCAGTACTGACAGTGACAAGTGTTCATTAATCAGAATTGCTTTTACAGTGGTTTCTAGGGCAACTATCACACCTAGCCACAAAAATGAGTTTTGTAGAGCAAAAGTAGCACACAGAGAAAATGCTAGCACTACCACAATTACTTGATTTTTCTGTAAAAGTAAAAAAAATTATAGAAAACCCACAATGCTTTAAAATATATTGCAAGTGAGGCATTCAGTTTCTTCTATGAAGTGTCTTGCCAAATGTCGTGTGTATCTCAAAATGCAGAAACTCTAACATTTGCTTTAATTGAAAATTTGCATTTTTACTTTTAGATTTTATCTGAACTTTCCAAGTTCTCTCTGAGATGTGTGAAGAGGCAAAGGATCACTTTCAGCCTGTACAGAACTAAACTTGGGAACTCTGTTCTATCTGTAAGGGAAAAGAAAATCTATTGTCTTTATTCTTATCTGTACAGATGCTAATCTTAACATACTTTTATGTAATTTTGCTTTACTACAAACCATATGAAAGTAAAGTTTGGTTTCTTTATACCTCCCTTCAGATGATGGGAAGATAGAAGAAGATGGTGCATTCGCAGTAAGATGTAAAATATGCATTATTTCCTTGTAGATGGTGTGTAGGAGTAGGGTGAAAAGAGACTGTCCAAATACACTTTGAATGAGCGTGTCAGTTATTGCTAAAAAAACCACATAAAGTAGAAGAAACTGTAACAAGTTATTTGACCTGTGCAGCTCACAGATACCTTCAGTCTTTTCACTACTCTGGGCCATCTTCTCTGTGTTGCAGGCTCAGAAGGAGAAGTAGGCGTTGCGGTGCGCTACAGCTTCCATGCAACAATGTGGCAGTGTTGCATGGCAAATGTCACTCATGTCCAGCAGCAGTAGTGGTAGGTGTATAAAAGTACTGGACATGAAGTCCTTGTGGTGTGTCATCGCTGAAGATTTGAACCTACTTCTGGATGCTCAGACTTCCTGTCTTAAGAACAGCTTCTTCTGTTAGTCTCCATTAAGACTCTTTTATCTTTGTCCAGTTGATAAGGCTCTGAAAATTCTCTGGTTCCCAAATGTGAAAAGATAAATGGAGATGTACTGCTGCAAACTTTGAAAAGTCCATCTCCAGCACATGCTTTTTTCAGGTAGCAACCTGAAGTGGCCTTACTCGCTGGAACTGACTCTTGTTGTGGCGCATTTATAATTTATGTAGCTCTAAGTTTTTAATACTGTTTCTCTTCTCATTTTGTCTTCATCTACTTTCTGTCCTGCAGTGGGAAAAAAGGAGCAGTTATTGTGGTTGTTTTCAATTAGAGTACAAGCTGTTTGAACTGCAGGCTTTAACATTTATTCTTTTTATCTTGAGAATGGTAAGGCTCTGAAATACTTGTGTGTACAAACAGCACATCATGAATAAGATCAAATTGTAGCTGTTTTGATGACAAGGGCCCTTAGATCAGGACCCAAGCCCAGTTTCTTCTTGCGTCACAGACTTTTTCCATCTCTGCTGTGCAGATTCCTGATAGGGGAACCTACTCTTTTCTTGGAAGGTACTTCATGCTGATTCTCAGGAAAGTTCAGATTAATAACTGTCCCCAGTCAAAAAAAAGTTCCTTGTGTGGGCAACCAGCAAGCTGAAAGCTTAAGTCATTGTGTTTAGATCATAATGCTTCCAACTGAGTGATTGTTTTGGAGCTCGTAAAAATTGCATCTAATGTGGATCAACCTCAGTTCTTGTAGGTAGTTTTCCTCAAGTCACTCCTACTACTGCTGCTGTGGCGTGTGTGTGTGTCCTCATAGGTGCTGGAACACAGACCATGGCTATTTGTGTAAGAGGTCAAACTGGCCGTATACCATCATTTTTGCTTAGGAAGCAGTATAGATGCGTTTGTGTGACAAGAGGTCTGGCTGAAAGGCAGCTGACCAAGAAAGTATAAGGTATACATTACCAGAAGCTATAGTGTTATTCAAAGGTTATATTCACACAAAATTAGAAAGACAGCTCTGTTTTGTAGCAGCTAACATTCCTACTTCAGTGTGTGGGTCATTTAAAATTATTATTATTGTTATGTTCTTATCCTTCTCACATAATTTACATACAGGAAGCAAATACTGCAATTATTTTGGTGAGTTTCAAAGTTTTATTAGTTACATCTTGTTGCTGCTTCTTGGGTGAAGACATGGAATCCAAGTGGCTAGAACTCAGAAATATGAATCAAGTTTAATAAATTTTAAGTACTTATAAACACAAATCCAAATAGAAAAGGTGTCTAAAATTAAAATGTTTCGGAGTCCAGCATCACAGTATCTCCTACAGTCAAGAAGCATATATGAGGATGTTGCATTAAAATTTAGGTATTTCTTCTGTTTATCAGTGTAACATTCCAGTTTACAGTACAAATAATTCTCAGAAAATTTAATCTCTTATCGCTAGATGAAGAGTTCTTGTTTTGTTTGGTTTGGTTTTTTTTTCCCATTGAAATTAAATGGCTTTATTTTCATTACTGCTTTCTGAAGGATAAACTGTAGGTTTTGAATATGCTGGAAGGATTATGGTGCTAGCCCTGGTACAGACTACGTAATCAAGGTTTATGTTAAAATTAGTATAGAAATCTTTATTTAGCTTGTATTTGTAATATATATATCCCTATTGCAAGAGCAGGAGGCTTCTTAGTGTTTATATTTAGGGGAAGTTTTTGCTATCTGTTTTGACCTCATGAAGCACATAGTGATGTGCTTAATATGATATGATGGAATGAGGTTGTATGAGATAATGAATGTGGATTTTGAACTTCTCATTCTAGAATTACTTTTGCTTGGTTGACAATGTTATCTTTGTTAAGGTTGGTGTGGGGAAATGCTGTTCTTTCCTTATGCTTTTGAATAAAGTAATTGTTTAGTTTTGCTTTGTGAGTAGGCTAAAAAAGGACTTTCTGAAAAAATAAAGCAGCAACCTACTAAGTGTGAGCTTATTGAGCATAGTGCAGTTGTCCTGTTTGAGGCATTAAGTTTACCATAGGTTTTTCTTCCCTTAGATTAAATGCAGAGTTTAAACGTCGTTATAAGCCCCCCCCCCCCCCACTTTGGAACTCTGATCACATCATGACTAAATATTTAATTTAATCATAGCTTTTGCTTCCAGTCAGGACACAGACATTTCTGTTCCTTTGGGGGCAATATGCAAGGCAGACTGCAATGGGTACTAGAGATTCTGCACACTGTAAAACGTGTTCCCTTCAGTAATGAGTTTATGCACT